CAGGTAGTAGATGAAACTAAATATGCAGGTCACTATAGGGTCTGCATAATCACATAAAATAATGCACAATTTCTTAATCTTCATGCTTATAGACAATACTATAATATTGTAATGTAGCGAGTGTATGATTTTTTGTTTATGTCAGTTACTAGTATTAATAACTGCTCACTATTTGACACTATAACATTTGCATTTGGTAGTGAATGGCTGGCTGGTCATGTAGTATGCGCTTTAGACTGTCATCAGGTGGTCTTGAGTTAGAACTCTGCACACTTCCGTCCCCTGCACTCCTGTGGGAGGTTTGGGCCAAGATGTAATAATCTTTAATTTTGAAATAACATCCAATCGATGTAAAACAAAACAATTTTCAAAATAAAATGCACAACATTCTTATGTGAGCATCTTCTTAAACAAATATTTAGCCTAGCGGAGATTCGATTCATAATGATAAACAATTTATTTGGAAACCCTCCATGAATTCACATTCGTTCATTTAAAAGGCCCTAAAAATTGGTCAGCTTATTAAATGGCGCTCAGTATTTAAAAGAGATGTCATAGTTTGCTTGTCAAGTGTACTTTTTTTTTTGTTTCAGTTTTTTTGAAAGACCTGATATGGCTGAAGATCTGATCACAACATACACCACTCTATCACATACTCTTATAGCTTTTTCTGTGGGTAAGTAACTCTTGATTTTTTTTTTTCATTGACTTACTAAGCTTAAACATCAGCATTAATTATATTGATATGAATCTTTGTTTCATTCTAGTAATAACCATTTTTTTTTTCTTTAATTAAAAAAAAATATCTTTAAAATAAAACAACATTTCAAATGCTATTGTTACGACACAAGACTCTTAAAAAATAAGCAGAAACTCTAGAATCAGGTTCTAATTAAGAAATACTGTAATATTATTACAAATGACATAAACATAATATTTTAAACTCTCTTCATGTCGACATATTCCAGCTTCCTCTTTTTTAACCTCCCTTCCAATTAATACCCAATATCACACCATTCGTCATTCACACCATGTGCTACGATGTAACACCCCTATATATATATATATATATATATATATGTATATATTTACAGGCTACTTTCTGTATGATTTACTTGATCTTTACATGAGCAGACGATCACGCCAGTCACTCGAACTGATAGGCCATCATTTTGTTGTAAGTATTGTAATCTATTCTCAAGAGAACTTGTCATTTATCTTTTCATGTTTAATGTTATACTGATGAAGAGAAAAGTAGTATTAAGTATATAAATAATAAACTTGATCGATTACAGATTATTACATGCTTCATGGTGGCAGTGGGAACTCGACACTATGTGGGCTACGCTGTCGTGGCCCTGTTGGTGGAGATCAACAGCATCTTTCTTCACCTGCGGCAGCTTTTACAGATATGTGGAGTCAGTAAATTGAACTCTTGGTCACGTGTAAATAGTTTTGTCAACTTGGGTAAGTCTGCCAATTTAGCTCTTGTGATACGAAGAGGGATTACGTGCACAACATGGCCTAAATTGTGCAGATGTGCCAAAAACCCAAAATACAATTAAAAAAAAAATACCTTTCTCAATTAAGTTGTACGTGAAAGTAAAGTTTTCTGAGTTCATTGCAGCTAGAAACCAAACAATACAAAATGAAAACATTACTTTACTACCACTTAGCATAAAGTTTCTTGTGAAACGAAAGTACTGAAATAGATAAATAACTTGAACAATATTCTCTTCTGAACACAAACTCAATATACTTTTTACTAAAATATTCCAAGAATGAAATGAGATATAGATCTAATAGTAATGATTTAAATTGATATTTATACAAAATCTAACACACAACAGAAAACATGTCTTAATTCTTTTATGTCTTTATATCGTCTTCCATTCTTTACATAAATTCTGACAGATCAGCTCATATTTCATCATTCTACACTTAAACTCTTGTCACTGTTACATAGGAAACACATGTTTTGTAGTGCTCCTAAAATCTCTTAAAAAATTAAAAGTCTCCCAAAATCCTAAAATTCACCTAAAAATTGCCAGAATTCTCCTAAAATTTTGTCCACTCTCCTAAAATTTGTACCCAATATTTTTTTTAATATAATTTTGTTTATTTTTTGCTTAAAGGGGGGGGGGAACAACAGCGTAACTAGACATTCTGATTGCATGACGTTACGGGCTGCTTTCTCCCACTTCCAAAACAGGACCTCATGAATGAAAATGGCCTTAGCTCAAGCAAGCATTTCACCTGGCATTTTTTTTCTGAAGGCAGCGTAGAAATGGTTTGATTCCTTTCGTTGTTACGACACGCTAGATCTAGTCTGTAGTGACTATTGTCTATAATTAGAGCAATTACCAGCCTCATGTGTAGGTTATACCTCTCTGGGCCCTCCCTCACCTAAAATTGTCTTGTTGTGAGCAAATTTCTCATTACTGTTGTACAGGGGAAATGTTTCTTTTGGTCAAGGGTCTCAAGATCCTTTGGATAAATTCTTTTTAGACACTCTACTGTGGGGAAATTCTAGATTTGAAACTGTACAGTGGGGGAATTCTAGATATAAAACTTTACTGTGGGGGAATTCTAGATATGAAACTTTACTGTGGGGGAATTCTAGATATGAAACTTTACTGTGGGGGAATTCTAGATATGAAACTTTACTGTGGGGGAATTCTAGATATGAAACTTTACTGTGGGGGAATTCTAGATATGAAACTTTACTGTGGGGGAATTCTAGATATGAAACTTTACTGTGGGGGAATTCTAGATATGAAACTTTACTGTGGGGGAATTCTAGATATGAAACACTACAGTACTTCATTTGAAAAATAAAAATGGAGATTCCTTCCTACATTAACATTTCTTCCTGCCACTTATTACTGTTTGTAAATTATCATTGTACTTCTCATTGATACGTAGATGAACAAACAAAAAATATCAAACAATAATTTTAAAAGACATGAAGAAAACAGCCACTTTTCTTTGTTTATATTTTATATAATTTATTGTTTTAATCTAGCTCGCTATGTGCCCTTCCATATTTAAAAACCATTTTCTTTTGCATTGCTTTCCTAGATGTAGTAGGGCATGGTGGCTGAGTGGTAAAGCTTTTGGCTTCCAAACCGAGTGGTCCTAGATTTGAATCTAAGTGAAGATTGGGCTTTTTGAGCTTCTGGATTTTTAGGGTTCCCTTGAGTCCAACGATACTGTCTTTAAGCCAGCGTGTACTAATTAGATTGCTTGTAGTTTCAATGATACTGTCTTTAAGCTAGCGTGTACTAATTAGATTGCTTGTAGTTTCAATGATACTGTCTTTAAGCCAGCGTGTGCTAATTAGATTGCTTGTAGTTTCAATGATACTGTCTTTAAGCCAGCGTGTACTAATTAGATTGCTTGTAGTTTCAATGATACTGTCTTTAAGCCTGCGTGTGCTAATTAGATTGCTTGTAGTTTCAATGATACTGTCTTTAAGCCAGCGTGTGCTAATTAGATTGCTTGTAGTTTCATGATATTGTCTTTCAACATTGCAGGAACATTCATAGTTTTTCGTATCCTGCTTTTGGCCTGGATGACAAGATGGCTGGTCATCAACAAAGACTCAGTGCCTTTGCTATTTTACACCCTGGGCAGCGTGGGATTGGCGGTGATGGTGGCTATGAATATTATTCTCTTCTACAGACTCCTCCGCTCTGATTTCATCGCCTTAAAAGGTAATGAAAGTGATGTGAAGAAGACTTCGTAGGAGGACATTTAACTTGATCCAGATGTTTGTGTATATATATATATATATATATATATTCTGTATAATTATAATCAAATATTTTTAGTGATTTTTTATGCAATGTTTAATATGAATTTATTCTTATTTTGCAGCAACTTTGCCAATTATATATGATTTTTGATGGACTATTTTTTTTATTTTGTTATTTTTTTTTTGTTTGTTTGTTAATAGTGTACTTTACAAAAAATCATTCTCTGAAAATGTTGGTTACTAGCATTTTATGGTTCTGTAAAGTCACTCTAGACTCGTCATAAAGAAAGTAATTTACCTAATGTTTAACTTTTTTAAAAAACAAAATCAAGATTGCAGAGAAAGTTTTTGCTCTCACTTTTCTTGGGTGTTATTATTCTTTTAAAATATCACTCAATGTTACAACTGCAAAGTTAATTTTTTGCAGAAAGTAGACTTTGTCTTAACAGAACTGAAAAGGACATTTTTTATGAAACTAAAAAGAGATCCATACAAACACTTTAAGCATTTTGTGACATTGTTTTAATAAAAAGTCATAAGTGTAATTTTTCAAAGCTAAGTCTGTGTAATTGAAGTGGCTGTAGCCATGTACAATGTAATATTCTATTCATTGCTTGTTAAGGGTGAAAACCTTGATGTTTATAACACACTATGCTATGATGTGCACTCACAATTATACAGTGTCTTGTAAAATTTACACTAGCAGGCCAGTCTGGACTGACAATACAGAATCTGCTTCACAATCAAATCAATCACCCATGTGGCTTAAAGTAAGAATCCTTTCCAGTACATCCGATGAATCATTTGTTTCTTTTAAAAATGTAATTATTTTCTTAAGTTCTCAAATCATTTTTTGTTATATCATAAATGTTAAAATTAACTAAGATTCCTTGATCCACATCATGTTATAAGTATTTCTATTAATCTTACAAATTATATATTAACCAGCAGCAACTTTTTGTTTAAACATACATTAAGTAAGAAGTGATAGTTATAAATTGTGAATGCCATTATTTACTTTAAAACAGAAACCAGTATTTCAGTCTTAACCTAACAGTCCATTATTAGATAAAGACACATTTCTTTAAGTGTAACAATTAATTTCTTCTGGTAATTTTTTTTTCTGTTAAACATTCCTAACATTTTACTTACAAAAAGAATGTGAAATTATCTGCTCCTGGAATTTGTAAATTGAAATGTGAAATTATCTGCTCCTGTCATTTATAAATTAAATGTAAAATTATCTGCTCCTGTCATTTATAAATTAAATGTGAAATTATCCGCTCCTGTCATTTATAAATTAAATGTGAAATTATCTGCTCCTGTCATTTATAAATTGAATGAGAAATTATCTGCACCTGCCGTGTTTCATGCCAAATGAAAATGTTACATTTTTGTTTCTGCTTTAAATGGTAAGTTAATCATAAAAATAAGAATAAAACTGCTTTCCAATTTTCAATTTCTGTTTTCCATAACCTTATTGATACTTATACATTGACAATGAGCTTAATCCTTCATCATACTCATCTACTTTAGCGATATTATGCATGTCAGTGAAACTTTATGTCAATTATCAGCTTTGTGAAAAATATTTTTAACCATTTAAAGAAGTCCTAGATCTAAAAGATGTAAAACTCTTATTTGATTTGTTTTGTAAAAATGTTTTGTTTTACATAATACGGATGTTCCTTCAGAGTTGAAGATAGTTTACTTCCTAGTCCAAACCTCCCGCAGGACGACGGGGGATGGGAGCGGGCAGGGTTTGAACCTTCAACCGTCGATAAATCTGAACGACAGTCTAGCCCGCAAACCGCATGACCAGGCAGCCATCCATTTATTTTGATAATTTGTAAGAAAGGAATTGTTGGTCTTTGGGACTACAAAAACTTATGGCTGTATGGTTGTGCGGTATGGGCACTGACTGCTCTGTCGTTCGGACCACTACACTGCCATCCCCCATTGTCCTGTTGGAGGTTTGGGCTAGAAGTAAATTATCTTCAACTCTGAAGGAACATCCGAAACATTTAAAACATTTTACAACTATTCCTTTGTTGGTCAGAGTTACAGTCCAATACAGCTGTAATGAGGGGTTATGTCTCATCACATTTTAACAGCTAGCCATAACGATTGTCTGAAGGATGCCTGTGTCAGCAGCTTCAGTTTGCAAATACATAATGTGAAGTGAATATGTATATTATTTGACATTTAAAAACATCTTGTAGTGCATTGTGAACTATAAAAATCTAAATTCAATTCTAAGACATTATGACTATGTTAAAGTTATTATTTGTAAAGATCTGTTTGCAAAAAATAAGTGCTTTGTTATATATATTCTTTGAGGTTTACAAAATAACAAAATAATATCTATTTTTAAAAAAGGTTCTAGACACACATTAAAAAGAAATACTTATAAATTTTGAGCAATGATGTTACATTTTTTTTTGTGTAAAGATCTGTTCATGTTTATTTTGTGAAGAGGACGTGGAAAGAGTTTGTTGGATTAGTTACCTTTGTTATAAATGTTATAAACTTACATTTGTGAATAATGTAAACATTTAAAAAATTTTTTTTTTTTTGTGCTAACTTTTTATTTTTGAATTAGTATGCAAGAATGGCAAATCTGTATATTCCTCATGTAACTGAATTATCTGTATGTTTTTACACATGATATAGTAAACATTGCACATTGTATTTTTAATATACTTTTCAGTTAATATATAATTATATCATTTGGTTTAAATACAGTAGAACATTTATATAACAAATGCTCTCAGGGACACAGCCAGATTCTTTTTTTCAATTTATAAAAAAAAAACAAATGGTTATTAGCCCAAAAGATATTTGAACTGGTTAAGAGATGTTTTTATTTGAAAAAAAAAACAACAACTTTAGATGACTGTATTTATTTAGATAATAATGAGGCTTGTCGAGTCCGAAGATTAGTGAGGAATGCAGTATTTCTAATGTATATTGAATACCAATAATTGTTTGTAAGCATTATTGGTGGGATAGTAAAAAGATCTGTAATTCTGATCCACTGTTTATAATGGTGTCATGTTTCCAGCACAATGTTCAACTGCCCTTTCTTTTTCCCTAACTGATGTCAGGTACTCTTTAGAGTTGGTTGGATTCAAGGGCACCCTAAAAATCCTGAAATTAAAAATCTCAGTCTTCACTGAGACCCCTCCATTTGGAAAGTGCTTACCACTCATTCACCTTGCTGGTTCAGTTCAGACATAAGGCAAATATGCCAACATGGCATCCACATTTCTTATATTTATCTTAAGAATAATTTTAAATAGGTCATCTGAAATACCTGTAATGCCTATCCAACAATACATTTTTCTTTTCAATTTAGACCATGATATGCAAAAAATAAAAGCATAAAATAACATTAACTTGTAAAAAAAAAAGTCTTTTTTTTTAATTTCATTAAAATACATTTTAACTCTTCATCTCCATAATTATTTCCAGGTTCTGGCAGAATTGTTCATTTTCCACATTTGTACATTCTACCCTGTTTTTATTTGTATCAGAAAACGTTACTTTTGGTATAGAATTATATAAGAATGCATCCTCTTTTTATATATAACAAATTAAAGTTTATAAAACCAAACATTAATTTAATTTAATGGGGTCAAATCAATGATGGTATGGTTAATTTGGAGAGAAATAGTTAATTTATATTGATGTTCTACTGTATTTTTTAATTGGCATAATTTTTGTTAATGTACAATTGAATTTTTAATTATTTGGTTTCCACTACTTTTCCTGTTTTCCTACATCACATATGTAAGTTAATGGTATAAAAACCTCATAATTTTTCAATTGGTGCTGTCTAATATACTCTATTTTTGTCTATATTTCTTAGCAACTAGAAATGCTAGACTGTTGGGATTTTTTTTTCATGCTATTTTTATTCTTCCCACCACCACCACCCCTAAGTTTTGAAAAAAAAAATTGTTTCAATAATAAAACTCCAAAAATTAATTCCTCTGCTTCCAATTATAAAACTGATTTACAAATGTTTTATCTCGACATCAGGATTATTGTATTTAAAGAACGCGAGAAGAGTTTCACTTTGATACTATTTACCCTTCAATACTCAAGTTTAATTGGTTTGTGATGCCTTAACCAGTAGTTTGTTCAGCTACATTCATATATATTTTAGTGTATTGTATTGTTCTTCAAATTTGATTTTTTTTAAAAATTGTAATCAAATTTATATCATTTTTAGTGTTAATGTATATTTAAATAATAATTTTTTTGGGGTGTGTGGGGGGATACAGGGTGGCTGCCTGGTTGTGAGGTATGTGCGTTGGACTGTTCGTACTTGTCGACTGTCCCAGGTTCATACCCTGCCCACTGTCATCCCCCGTCGTCTGGCGGGAGGTTTGGACTAGGAAGTAAATTATCTTCAACTCTGAAGGAACATCCGAAACATGTAAAACAAACATTTTACTGTATGGTTAATGAGGAAGAAATTCAGAAAACACAACAGTTACTAACTAGGTCTAAATAGAAAAAAAAAAATGTTTGACTTCTTTGGAATTTAATAAGAATTTTAAATATCAAAATATAAATGCTACCAGGTCATAGGAATCAGCCAGGAAAACCAACGACTTAGCAGAGCTTAAGTCTTGATTAACATGCAGGACTGGATTGACGCATGAAATGTTTTGGACGTAATTATCTTCTTTTTTTTTGAAGTAACATCTGTAGCGTGTAAGATGATTGGATAATTTATTTATATCAAAGTTAGCTTTATTAAAAATACTAAAGCCTCAAACTCAAATGGTAACATACTAGTTTAACCAAACTCACCCATGAATCTTAAACTCTAAATCTAACCTTACCTCCAATAGATATTCATTAATTAAACCTAGGGTAATCCACCAAAACAAATTGTAACTCACCCGTGAATCTTAAACTCTAAATCTAACCTTACCTCCAATAGATATTCTTTAATTAAACCTAGCGTAATCCACCAAAACAAATTGTAACTCACCCGTGAATCTTAAACTCTAAATCTAACCTTACCTCCAATAGATATTCTTTAATTAAACCTAGCGTAATCCACCATAACAAATTGTAACTAAACTTAGCACAATCTTTCAAAATAAGGCTAACTAGCCCTAAAAATTTTACTAACCTCAATCTTAGGATTTTTTAATTAGATTTTTTAAATTTAGAGCTATCTCTCTTTGTTGGGTAATAATTTAGGGTACTCTCCAAACCATTAATACTAGGTTATTGAAATAGGTAAGTAGTTTAGCTAGGGTTCCTAATCATTACTACTGGAGTCCAAGTCATTCTGCACACATACACAATTACATGTTCTATCATTCAGGGATCAATGAATTTGATCAAACATTTGTTACCTCAATGTGAAGTGTTGGTCTTGACTATTAGTTTTATTTCAAAGGGCTATTTTATATTAAGTTTATTTTGGTGAATAAGTCCAACTTTATCTTTATGAAAGTTTTTCCCCTTTAACCTGACCTTCTGACACCTAGTTGTTACAGTACATGAAATGAGCTATTTATAGCTTCTTTTGAATGTTTGATGTTTTGACTGACTCCACAAATCATTCATTTTGTAATCTGTGACACCTTTCCTCCTTTACATTTTCTTCATATTATGAATATTGACCAAATCCTGGCGGACTTAACGGAAATACACATTCAGGCTCATTCAAATTCCTGGTTGCTGTCTAATTATCACCCTGACCAGTTAAATATTTGTATCTAATATATTGTTAATAACTTTGTATTGAGCATTACTTTTTTTTTCAGCCAATTACAGATAGCTGTAAATGTATAATTATACAAATAAATGTTAACCAGTTTTCTGTAACTTATATATTTAATTTTAGTCAAACCCATGTAATGGTCTTATTATTTAAGAAGTCATATTTGATAGTATTATACTGTTACATTTCTATGTACATTTTATAATGGAAAAAAAATTGATCCTTAGTAGCCTTTTGTTTCCCAGTGTCTATCTATTAAAAAACAAAATACTTAAATATACTTTACTAAAGTTTGGAAGGGGAAACATTATCTGGGAGTTATTATATTATAAGGTTGTTGTGTACAAGTTAGTGTTGAATTATATTCTCTCAGTGTTCAATCTATTTTACCAAATATCTGCAGGTATAAATTGATCATATTTTTCTGTGGTCCTCATCTTCACCTAGGCTATTTATATTGCAATGATAGAGAAATACTTTTTGTTTGCCTATCAAGGGATACAAACATTGTAACTGACATACATATTTCACAACCTTAGGTAACAGTTATTGTGTAAATAAGTTTCAGAAAGCAGTCAATCGTCATTGTATTTTGACTCATAGGAATAGCTTGACTTTTGTGTACAGGTACCGAGTTCAAGGATTGGTTCTCAGACTTGGCTAGTGACAGAAGATGCACTTATGGATTAAAATTTGATTTGTGTTTAAATAAAGGATGATTATAATTTGTTGGTTTTGCTATTAAATTATTAAAGACAAGGAATTGCATTAGAACAGTTTTCTTATTAGTATCTGTGGTGAGAGGTGAATAAGTGGTGAAGTTTCTAAACTCAGGGTTCTCAAGTTCAGATCCTGGTGAAGATTTTTAGCTTTAAGGGGCCACTGAAGAGTATCTCACAGTAGGCGGAGGAAAAAAAAGGTTAATCATTTTGCTGGCCACATGGTACCCTCATTAATCGTCAGACGAGCTTTACATCATCTGCCTCAAATTTAGAAGGGTCTGAAAGGGAACTTAGTCTGTTCAAGGTGTTGAACATATAACATAGTTGTTCAGTTTGTTTTATATTCATGACAGATCTAGCTAAACCTTGATGGAGTCTTTATTTATAACCACAGATACAATGATTAGTTAACTATTTGATACCATCTAGCCAAGCAGGATTATGTATTCAGTGATAAAATAGACAAACATTGTGAAAACTAAGCATCCTTGGATTAATGTCTAAATGTACAATTGTTGTGAACACCAATTAGCTAATTCAACAGTAAAACGGGACATTTAGACAACAATTCTGTATATATAATAACTTCAAGGGAAATTTACATATAACTCTATTTTCTTTTTCTACTTTGTTAGCCTTAATTTTTTTCTCTGCGCCTTACAAGTTTAATATATATATTTTTTTTTTCACCCTTTGAAAGATATTGTCATTTATAGTTGCCTCCCTTATGAAGAACTGTATTTGTTAGGACATATGCTATATTTTTTAGTTACAAATGATAAAGATGCAAATTTTATTTGAAATGCATATATACGTATATTTATATATTGTTGCATAGTGCATTATTATAGAATGATAATATAATTAGCTTATGCAAAGGACGTTATGTTAGATTAAAACTATTCTTTTTTGTGTTTCATTTCAATTTCTGCCACCTAACTTGCTCAAGCGGGTCTCTGTGATTTTTTTTTTGAAGCATCCCTGATAATACAAGAGGAGATAATAAAGTGTATTTTGTGCTACAGTTTGGGTTGTCGTTCCTTGTGTGATAATTTCTGTTTCTTTATTGCCTGATGACAATGGTTATGCTTGCCCTGGATGTGGCAAAATACGTAGGTCACAGCTGGGGCTGCGTAGCCACGGGAAATACTGCATTTCTCTTTAATCTTTGGACTCGAAGACAAGCTTTATTATTATTAATATTATTTCTTCTGATATGGTTCAAACAGAACCATCTTGACGAAGATGTATATAAATAACTTGACAACAAACTAAAGAAACATCTGAGTTCTTTTCTTTCTTCTTTATTAGACTTCTTCAAACTAAACATATACGTAGACTTCCAATTTAAAACCAACTTGACTTAAATCTATGGATAATATAAAACTTTTTACCGATACAACTTCAATTGATATAACTTATCACTTAAAAAGTTAATGATACAACTTTAACTAGTGGACCCGCAACTGTTTAATAACTCAATACAACACAAGAGTCAGTTACAATGCATGGACCCATAACTATACAAAGACCCCGAATAACTAGCTATCCTGTAATTTATACTTTTCTTAATCGTACTGTCCAGAATCATATCCTAAATATTTTATTAACTATGACCTTCTAGAAACTGACTTATGCGATTTTTTCCCCTGACCTCTTTTCCTGATTTGATTATTTTAATTAACTGGTCGAATTAGGTCACCGTATCGATTCGTGACACAATGTAGTTTCATTTGATTTTTTTTTTTTTTTTTTTGCACATTAAGTAGGAAACTAATAAATATGTTTAAATATTAGTCAAAGCTAGACTAAACTACTAGTTCAGAACACAAATACTGATACTCTCGTAGCCATCCACTGAAAATTGTTGACCGTTTTTGTTATCTTGGCGCCATCATCTCCAACAATGTTCTACTGCAGTGTTTCCCAATATGTGTTCCGTGGAACCATTGTGTTCCCCGAGACCTGAGTATGCGTTCCACGAACAACTTGAATAATTAACTAGTAGGCCACAACATGAATAAATCTCTTTAAGAAAAAAATAAGCAAAATGTTCCGCTAAATACTCAGAATGTGTTCCGTTAAGGAAAAAAGTTTGGGAAACACTTATACTTGATAACAGGCATTGGAAACCATGTCACGGCTGCAGAAAAGAGTGTGGAACAATACCTTGCTGAGTAACAATATCAAAGCCTTAGTCTACCGAATCTGTGTGATGGTAAACCTACTCATGGTTGGAAAAAAAACAAAAAACAACTAAATATCTTTCCACCTCCGATGTCTAAGGCGGATCTTTATAATATAACGTGGCGCGATAAAATAGCCAATGAGGAAGTGCTACGAAGGGCAGGGTGCCAGGATATCCGCATTGTTAGCAGCAGACACCTTGGCTGGCTTGGCCATGTTCACAGACTTCTACTATAAGACATTCTGTATGGTGATTCAACACAAGTCAGGAGAGCCGCTGGTCGTCCACTTTTAAGGTACAGGCCTTCTGATGTATGCAAACGCGACAAGAAGCGCTTCAAAATGGACACTAACAGTTTGGAATAAGTGGCACTAGACAGAGTTGCTCGGAGAGCGACCCTAAAGGAAGGATTCCGGATTGCAGATGCATTACACAGCCGCTGACCACAAACTGTATCGGCAGCCGTTGAGCACAAACTGTATCGGCAGCCGCTGACCCCAAACTGTATCGGCACTTGCCGTTCCTTTGGATACAATTACTGCGTGGAAAAAAAAAAGGGGGGGGGGGGTAAATTGATGTGTGGACGACCACAGCTCATGTCCAGGCATTCATCTCATCAACCATGAGATGATCCATACTCTCTACTCTATTCATTCACAGGTTTAAATGTGTTATTTTCTTTTATAGCCTTACATATGTCAGTGAGGATAAACTCCCATAATGCCTTAAGGCACATCTGCTCTTCCTATGTTATGGCGGATCCTTATTAGCTGGATTTTAATTTCGTTTATCAAACCCATGATCCAAGCATACATTTAATACCTTTACATATTTTATCACAACCATCATGGGTTGATTGAAGTTCTCTTTTAGCTGTCTTCGCCTGTAGTTTTCCTTTTGGTCTCATATGTGTGCCACCCCCTCCCCCCAGTCCTTGTAAAGGTTTTCCAGTTGTCGTTTTCGGAAGACTTTTGCTGACAAATTTGGGCGTGTTGACTGAGTATTATTTTTAACGTATGGCTGATATGCATAAAAGCTGTGCTATAATAAAATGTAGAGAAACGACTGTTCTGAGCTCTGGGCTGACATTCAAAGCAAAGATTAGTCTTCCAATAGCGCAACACATAAACAGGTCTATGTTTTATGCTAAAACGGTCATCTTGGTGTCATGATTCGACATTCGAGCGCCCCCCCCCCCTTTCCTCCGCGGGTTAACAGATCAACGCAAAAATCAATGCTTGTAAACAAGTCACTAAAAGACGCCTGCCGGGGCAAGCCATCGTGGTCAGACGAGATGAGACAGGGGCAGATAACATCTCTGTCTTTGCAAATCCCGCTCTCATTCTGGTTTCGAGAGTAGCTGAGTTTCTCATTTGCATAAATCACAAGTTAAGATGCAGACGTCTGTATAATGAGAAGGTTATTAGTTGTCCATTTATTTCAAACTAACATATTCGTCCATTTCTAACGTTCTCTCCATCTTGCTTTCATTCTGTTTATTTTTACTTTTCCTCGCTCTCTGTTTTTTTTTTATTACTTTTGATAAAGATTGCATCACTTCCCATCACACCACACTATACCCTTTTTTTTTCTTCAAATATTGGAGCTTTTCATAGATGGCGGAAAAACTATAAATAGCTATCTGTTTGGTGTATCCGGTGTACAAAATGAAAGGAAGTGTTGAAAAGATATTTTTTTTAAAGGTCGATGATAATGTTTGTGATTATTATTATGTTAGAAACGAACGAATATTCATTCTCTGGTGCTGCCAGGGTCGAGTTTGTTAAAGAGAAACATAATTCAATGGAGTCCCTTTGTCAGTGTTCACTGAGGAATTTTCTGGTGATGTGGCAGGTCTGCAGCAGTACCGCCCTCAGACAGGCAACGAGAATGTTCCTAGGAAATGTTAAGGGCCTTGAAGGTATCTGTTAGTTTAGTTGCCATTATCTCCTCACTTGTCATAACAATGGGGCATGTTTTTTATTTTAGACCACTTCTATAGCCGCTAAATCTCCAAGCTTAGATTCCCATATTTTCTTTGGTTTTCATTATATTATGGGATAGTGATACGGCGATGTCAATGATGGTAGCGTGAAGTTGTTGTTTTTTTTTTCATCTTTTTTGTCCATAAACAGGGAAATTAAAATCCAACATTTTGTCAGTCAAAATAGGCCTATTCCAGTAAAATAAGTAATCGAATGACTCTAGAACCTCCTCTGGATAGTATTTGTAATAAGTTGGTGTATTTTCCTGATCAAATTATGTGTTAAAATAAGCCTATATCGCAAGTTTGTTATTATTATTATTTTGTTAATATTTTTTTTTTTTTTGTTGTTCAATCTAGTGTCCATTGACATCGCAAACATCTCCAATAAATGTGTAATTTTGGAAAGAAATTGCAATGGACCTCATTCACCAATCGTAAACAAACACCATTTAGCCACGTGATTCTCTATCTCTTCAATACAAATTACGTAATGCACTAAGGCTCTCACGTGATACGCTCTTTTTCGTTTTGTTTTTATCAATATTATCAGTATATATATAGGTCTGTGTTCTTTACATAGAAATGAAGTAATGGAACAGTCTAAAAAACATTGTCCAGATTTAGCTGCCAAGTCTAACAAACGATAACTCAAAAATTATTATTAAATTGAAACAAAACTAAAGGTTTATTTTTATTCTAGAAAGAAGGCCATGAAACAGTGTTGATTGAGAATATATAAGCAATTATAATCATACAAGAATCTATGCTTGAAAAAAAAAAGTCTATCAGTGATTACATACACTCTGAAATGGACATTTGGCATTTACATTTATTGCTTATACACTTTCGGACTAATCACTGTCCAGTTAAAACATTTGAGGGAAAACAGAAATCTCTCTGAAACAGAACAAACATCCATTTCTGTTAATGTACGTTTTTACGTGAGTTTCGATTTCGACTTTTTTAAAAAATCAAGTATGAGGTGATTAGATCCAGATCTATAAGTTAATGAGCAAACGATAAAGAACCTGACAGTTATTTTGTAAGTTGTGTGTAAGCCGCTGAAATCTAAAATAACATCAACACAAGATCAACAAGATGTATTACAACTCGTCTGCTATAACAATTTAATAGACTGCTAAAATAAAGCAAAAGTTTAAAAAAATGGCTACTTTTGTAGAAACATTTTTTTAAAAATCTCACTCACGTATTTTCCTGCATAGCTTCAACGTTTTTAAAACTCCATAGCAAGATTTGTTTTCCCAGATTTTTTAAAGTAAACTTTTAAACTCCAAGAAGTTTTCTTACACAAATGTAAATATGGTAACAATTAGTTAACATTGGTAGAAATACAGCAAAGTTGTCTAATCTACAGTTACTAACACTACATTAACAATAGCAGAGGATATAATCAATCTAAATCAAGTTTATTCTACTATGTACAAAATGTTCTCCCTCGCAACTGTCCACAATTTAATATGCGCAGTCTCTCTTTGGTCTAAGCTTTCTTCCATCTGTAAGTGATATCAACTACGTTATAGCAATACCATCAAATGTTATTTCATACACTCTCAGTATAATAAAACATACAAGAGTACCAGTTACTTTATGCATATATATCGACACCAAAAAAAAAAAAAAATTAAAAATTTAGATAAAAATAAATTAGATCACATGACCATATCCACACGGCATCCATGCTAAGGGAAAAAAAGACAATGTCTCAGTAGCCATTTTGTTTTTTAAGTTCGATCTTTTCAGTTTTGCTAAAATATTGCGAGTACAACAGCTTTTAAAATGATAAGTAGGTACTAACTAGGACAGACATAAAAAAAAATTGCTGATCAATTTTTACGAAAGAAATTCAAGGATGAAAGGATTCACAATGGAATACTTCATTTAATGATTTGGTCTAATGACTGCAGATTAGTGCAAAGTGGCTCCTGGAATTCGTTCTTTCTAGATATATTATCAATGCCTTTGATGATCCAAGATCATCTGATAAGGAGCAGTTGTTTTATTTTGGAGTTATCTTTCCATTGCCTTTGATCATCCGAGATCGTCTGCTAGCCTGTGGTAGGTAACAGTTGTTCCACTTCTGAGATTTGGACACCACTGCATTTATAACATTTCCTAGTTATCTGACCCCGCCAATGTTACAAACAAGAATAAAATAAACATATTTAAAAGTGGTATTGATAAGTGTAAATTGACAAAAATTGGTGAACTAGATCTAGTTAGAAATTAAAACACAAAAAGGCATTTTTCGAAAGTTTTAACTAAATCAACCCAAGATCTTTCTTTCGAATGTAATATTTTAATTCAAGCCACTACCAAAATACCTAGATCTACACACTTGCACAAACATTATATAAACTATGTGAGGACTATATTTAGACAATGTTGGCTTGAAGATCTATCAATTAAACATGCTCACACACTAGATCTATAATTGTCATAGTAAACATATCAGTCAATCATCACCTCGCTTGGCGTAGAACATTAATACGAAAACATTGGTTACAGATTATAATGATATAAAACATCAGCTAGAACTAGCCTATATAAGACTATATACACAGTAAGTTTGGTTCTAAATATCACATCGAACTACGTGTATATCACAACACTTGGACATCTCGGTTTCTTTTTTAAAAAACAACAAAAAAGTGGTTTATAAAAGTATATAAATGAGCCACGTAATGCTATTTATACAGGATTCAAGAAGGCCGATACTGAGGAAAATAAACATTGAACAGTGATGAAAATGAGAACATAGTCCACGGGAATACCCACGCAAGGGAATCTGGGATTTATTCTCATGATGAGTTATGATACAAAACGAAGCCAGATAAGGTAGACTCTAACCATGAAATGGGGCAATTAGATAACAGACAAGATATACTCATTTAAGACAATGGACAATCGTGCAATAACGTTTGTCTTTTTAAGTAAATTTATATAGAGCCTAAGAGAGAGAGAGAGAAAATATATTTTGAAGGATCAGCTACTTTATGGTTTCTCTTTAAACATTCTTTTCGCATTTTTAGTGACAATACTTTAAATTTTAAAGTTGGCGACATTGTCGTGGTTAGAATTATACCATCTCCGCTTATGGTATTCTTATAATATACTCTTATGTAAACCCTAAGAATTACATTTTTTGTTACTAAAATTTGCATATTAAATCATTTAATTTTTTTTAAACAAGGAAAATTAAATTAAGTTTACAATTATTTTCTTTCTTCTAAAATATGACATACTTTTAGCAGGGATAGGGTTAGGTGTCAAAATCGGCCAGGGTATTTCTATACAATCCTGCCCACAATTTCTATATCATAGGATGGGCATATAATTCTAGGTCTACCTGTCTTCAAGATCATTATATAAGTTCGATAATGTATCGATATGCATGCATACAGCGAACTGTATAGTTGTATTAAAAATAGGGCCTATAGGCCTTATGTTGCTTTTTAATCGCTAAGTATGTAGGCCCTAAGAGGATGAAGCCTACTGACTACGAATGAAGGTTATTACGGAAAATGTGCTAAATTAGAATAGAATTACACTGTAGTCTGTGAAAGATTTGCTTATAAACAGATGGGCGTTTTTATAAGAGAATATTATAAAACCTTTAACAATTCGATATGTGCCATTGTGGCATCGATACGGCCATTTCGGTGACCCTGCTGGTCCACTTGGGTACCGGCCTACCGAATGCCCGGTGCCCAAATGCCCATATAGCCAGTCCGCCCCTGGCTTTTAGGTATTAGTATTTTATTAATAAGTGGATTTTTATTCAAGCTTTCAAAAACGTGTAGGGGCCTCCACGTACTTAAATCCGGCCCTGAACACATTCCGAAGATTAAGGATTGGTGCAGTGTTTCACATGGCCACGCAAACCGAGCTGCCGCCCGCATATTTTTTGTTGTTGACATCTGTTGCAGACAAAGCCGTTGTCCGTCGGGGGTCTATTTAAGTTTTCTGTACGACTTCTACGAGGGCTACATTTACACACATACACGCTGATATACCAAAAGTACACATATATACTTGCTTGTGCATACACACTTACACATACGTACTCATCTAGACTTACATACACACATAAACTCACACATTCACACAAGTTCTGTACAACCATAATGTAGGCCTACAAAACTACGAATTAGCATTTGTTGTAGAATTATATCCTGGACTATTCCGAAAGAACCATAAGTTATCTAGTAAACGTCGAGACTGATATTATTTGTATAATCCCACATAAATTGTTCGTGACACAATGTAGATAATTAACCAAGGGTCGCTACGAGATTAAGTTTACATTAATGGGGATGGGGGTTCTTCACTTCCGATTTACCACGAGCCAGTGACACAGCAGCCATGGCGTTCGATAATTAATAAGTCACCAACCGAGGGGGGGGGGGGGGCAATGTGACAGAGAGAGCATTGAAAGAGATTCCAGAAAGATTATCTTTGATCATGTGTGATGCCCCAACAGTTTAACAGACTAAGGGATAGTTGAAGGTGAAAGTGGAACCGGGGCAATTAAAACGCGTGTCATTTTTATAAGTATTTCTTTAGAAATTTAGCGTCTTGATGATGTTACTTATAAGAAGTTGTTACTGAATTAAGTGTCATGACACTATGACTTATAAGAAGTCGTACTGAATAAAGTGTCATGACACGATTACTTATAAGAAGTCGTACTGAATAAAGTGTCATGACACGATTACTTGTATGATGATACATACAGGATGACTCGTTTGCTAGTTTCTTAGAGGTAGGGGGAGCTATCTGGACCCAGGGCCTAGTGATACCCTGCTAGCCACTGCCAAGAACAGGTCTAGACCTAGATTCCCTGCTAATACTGTTACGTTAATAGTTATACGCAAAACCAAAGAACTACGGGATAAAAATATTCATACACGTATGACGCCAGATAGTTGAACCCGTTTTGGTTAGAAAAGAATCACAGTGGGAACATTATTTTTTAAACATGACAAAAAATGTAAAAGTTTTAAACTAAGTTTTTAATGATAACATCTAGATAAATATATTACTTGATCTAATATATATATATATGATATTTTGGACATTGTAAAAATAAAGCGCTTAAAAACCTAACATTGCTTACACTAAATAGAACAAAACAATATTTTAATATTGTAAAAGTTTCTCAATTACATTATGCCAAGATGACATTACAATAATGAAGAATATATCAGTTTTTAAACAAAGATTCGACTGTAATAATCCATAGATTTATAACAATAACTTTCGTATTGTTCGGAATGAGTATTCTTAAAATAGTTTTCAATTAAACTCCAAAAGACAGGATCTTAAATAGAACCGCGTGGTTAGATTGAAAGTAACAATACTGGAGAATAGACTTTGGCTATTTGAAAAGACTCCACACTAACCTGTAATGAAGTTGATCTGGCTATTTGAAAAGACTCCACACTAACCTGTAATGAAGTTGATCTGGCTATTTGAAAAGACTCCACACTAACCTGTAAAGAAGTTGACCAAACAGAGATACTCCCAGTTACAAACATGACATATTGACATGCTTACATGTGTACCATTACTTCTTCATGTATTCATGAAAATCAATGCTGGATCATGTCATCTAAGATAATAAAACTAAAAACACACATGTAACTTATTTTTTTCCCAGTTATATAATAACAGTCATGTAAACCATTGGCGTCTCTAGGCGGATGGCGGGGGTGCGGACTGCACCGAGTGACACCTACCCTAGTGACGCCACTGATACTAACCAACATAATTTATTAATTATATTGAGCAAAATATTAACCTGTGAAATAGATCTAGATATCGACGTAGAGTACACAAAAAGGTTTGAACTCAAGCCACTCTAGAGTCAAACCGTGGAACACTAAGACGCCACTTATTTGGAGATGTGCCTCCGCAGATAAATGTAAAACAATGCATATTTTCAATCACATAATACCA